GAAATACTTGATTTGACTCAATTTTTTCTTATTTCAAGTATCTTACCAAGTAAAATTTTCAGACTACCAAGACAAATTATCTTATACATTCTGAAAAGATTATTTTTCTTACACAATCAGTTCTTGTTTAGTAAATCAGTCTCAAAACAAGATCAAAAAGACTTTTTGGCTGGATATAAGATTTTAAAACTTGGTAAGATTGACGTTTTTTGCAGTGTAGGGCTAATAATGATGAAGTTTAGGGTTAAGATAACAGTTAGTTGTTATGTGTTTTCTACACCTTTCAAAAATATGACAATGGGCTTATCTTTCATGTTCTCATCTCATCTATWACTGACGTGAGGGGCATACTCGACACAAAACAAGACGCATCAATAAGTGACGAGATGGGAGTGAGAACGAGCTGTTTTGTCATGTTTTATTGTTGACTGTACAGCTCATTGGCCTGCTGTGGTGTTTTAAAGTGCTTTACAAATAAAGCTGGATTGAATCAGATTGGAACATCATTTCAAACATGAKTATTCCTTCAATCCTGCTATAGATTCTTCATTCCATCTTTCCATTTATTTATTCCACTTTATCAACAATCTTTTTGTATGTACATGTGAGGTATTACATATGATGTACATTGTTCTCACTTGAAAATTTCTTTCTTTACTATGTAATTTGTTGTTGTATTATAAGGTAGGACATCACATTCCAGCTGTATCTCTACACTAACACTGTTCAGCCATGGGAAGGGGTTTCTATTTCATCTGGTTTCCAGTACAACGACTAGATGCACAGGTCTTGTGTCTTCTTATARTCCAGCTCAGCTTTGCGAGATGAGTCTGAGTCTTCTGAGAGGTGCGTTCGTGTGCTCAGTTGAAGGCTGGGTTGTGGACTCCAGACACACTGGTGACAGGAAAACTCTTTCCTTTGAGGAGTGTGAGGGAGAAGATGAAGAAGCAAATGCTGGTGACACCCAAAATGATCACACTTGTGATGAGCACGGTTGTCACTGTGTTCATCTGAAACTCGGGGGTTTTCAGATTGGCTGTGGTGGCAAAAACACAAAGAAACATGTTTTAGTATTTTTTTTTTACTTAGTTTCACACATGCAAAAACAAATGATAGTAGTTTTTTCATATCTTTATTTGAATTTTATGTTGACAAAATATGGCATGAACCACTGAATTTATTGAAATCTTCTAAAAGTAATCATTGGAGACCAAGAGAACACCAGGGTGTGGCAAGTGCTCATCAAGAATGGAGAAACCTTCACAGGAAATGATCCAGACTTTGGAACAGTCAATCGTCCGAACCAAGATTCAAGAAGGACTGCTACAACCAGTGAGAAACAAATTGGCAGAAGTGGTTGGACTTGGCAGCATGACAAAAGGTGTGGACACTGATCATGTTGCACACAAGACTGACTTACAACGCAAGAAGGAARAAGATCAGAAAAAAACAGGACCAGGAAACGATCAGAAAGCTCCCTCATGTGCAACTGATGGACAATAAAAAGAAAGACAAGACATAAGCTGTTGTTATGCAAAGCCAACCTGCACCAGTGCAGTTGAACCAACCACAACAGACATCAGACCAAAACGGAGGGCAACAGTTACAGCAGAATACTTCAGTGACTCCTTCTATGAGACCAGTTTCTGGCCAGTCCCAACCATGGAGAGGAAGGGGCCCGAGGAGACCAGGGAAGATGAAGAAGAGGAAATTACAATTAAGGATTTCAACAGTCTCCAGGATCCTGTCACAAGTGTGGACAGTTTGTCACTTTGTTTGCAATAATTGTTGTACCTTGGTTTAAAACTATACTTCAGTATAAAACTCGGWGTGTTTTATCTTGTATTCCTGAATTATACAGGGTCACTGCTGAGAGCTGAAGGCAGGAGGAAGATCCAGGTGATCAACATCCAGTAGCAGTTCAAACAGCCACCAACCAGCAGATGTGTGGACTTGTCAGCAGTACACAGCCAGCCATCAACTCAACAGTTCAGCTACAGACAAGTCAGACACACAACCACCACTTTCTTGCTTTTGTTGTAAGTCATTGCACAGATCTTTTTAAATAATGATGGTGGTATTTATTTATTTTATTTAAATAATAAAATAGAAGAAAGAAGCTGTATTTTATCAAAGTTTTATTTCTTCTCTTACCGTTTCCTTGTGTTCATATTCTGATATATGCAAATCTGTTTTCAAAACAAAARTGAGAATTTTSTTTTGGAAATAAAGAGAAGCACACTGGCAATACTAAATTCTTTTTCATTTCTGYGAGGAGGAGGAGGGCACCCAAATGACTAGCACCAGCTCTGAAACCAATAGACATCAGCTATGGTGACCCAAGGACAACAATACCCATACTGGAGTCAGAACACACTCCCAATGGACTCTTAGGGACAAATGCTTTGTGTAAATTGAACTGTACAATACAATGCACACTTGACAGCTGTCATGTCYAAATACCTATGAAGCTGATCGACAATTAACAATGACAACAGAAACGGATGACTCTTCAGTATGTTGGATTGGAGACCTCACTCAGGATCTCATGGAACCAGCCAGAGACTGGGAGAAGTTCATTGTGGTTAATATGCCTGGAGCAAATTTTCTGAGTATCCATCTCACTGTACACTCAAGTATTTCAAGACAGCTCACCAATCATACTTAGACGAGTGGCTAAGCCAGCAGCCATAACAAGTCCAGCTGAGTTTGAGCTTTATTATTCTAGGAACACAAGGGGCAGCCAATGATTATCTCAATGAACAACATGAAGTCAAACATAGCATTCCACATGTGACTCTGATTAGCAGACAGCTATGAACAAAAACGAGGGCAATATGATGGCTGAATCCAAGAACATTATTTTTAAGCTAAAGAAAACATAAAGAGCTGCTTCATGGAAGAAGAACCTCAGCTTAGCCTGTTAGCTTAAGTGTTAGCCCAGACACTGTCACCATATATATGTATTAGCTCAGTGCTACACATTCTCCTCTCGTCACTGAGGTCCTCCATCCACATGACAGAGAGGGGAACACAAAAATGACTCAGCCTGCAACTGAAAATATGGATGGAGGACCTCAGTTTAGCTTGTTCGTCATGCTAGCGCTGAGCTAATACATATAAGGTAATATAGCATTGGCGAAGGCTAACAGTCTAAGCTAAGGTTCTTCTTCCATGAAGCAGCTCTGATGTCCTCCATCCACGTTTTCAGTTGTAGACTGAATCGTTTCTACCTTCTCCTCTCTGTCAACGCTCTCTGGTTTCTTTTAAAAGAGTCGATCATCAGATATTGTCCAAGATTAACCTTCAGGATGGATATAGCTCGCTCACACGATGACCTATCCACATCATCATTTACCCAATATTTTAAAAAATGTACAAAACTAAACAGCCTACAGTTTTTTTACAGTATTTATTTTACAGTTAAAAAAATGTCTATCAAATAAAGTCTAATGTTACAACTAATTGTGGATCCCTTTAACCAAGGCTTGTTCTTCAGACAAACAAACATGTCACAAAGACTCTGTTAAATTGTTGCAAGTCTTAGCACAAAAAGTTCATTAAGTTTCTCAGAAGAAATTATAATATGCTCAGGAACAAGTAGTTTATTTATCTGGGACAATCAATAACGAAGGGACATCAAAGCATTTCAGGAGGCCATAAGAAAGGCTCCAAAGCCCAGAACTGTGTGAGAAACATGGAGTAATCACCTTCAGTGCAATCTAGCCAGATGGTTGTCTACCTTTTGAAACACTGAAGTAAACACTGCAGGAGGCTCCAGCATTACCTAATTACTCAAAAAACGTTGTGTTGTATGAGTCTACCTTGACCGGGGGATAGATATCCTTGTGCTGTTCTCTGACAACCAACAGGGACAGGACTAAGTCCACAGCCAGTTGCTTATTACTCTGCCACTTTTTCAGAAGTAGCTTTGTCTCCTTAACCTCACTCCAGGAAGTGTTTTCAAGGTCTGCCTTTCCCAAGGCCAAAAAGGTTAGACCATTGTTTTATCGTTGCTTTCACCATGTTGTTGTATCACGCCACATATTCATATTCCAAAACAAAAGCGTCTCTCTCCACCTCAATCAATCAATCAATCAATCAATCAATCAATCAATCAATCAATCAATCAATCAATCAATCAATCAATCAATCAATCAATCAAT